AATTTTGTATTCCCAATTGAGGCACTTTTTTGAAAATGGACTCAACCTTCAGATGCCTAGGGCTAACTGCAAGGCCAACTTATTGCCATGAAATAAAAATGGTGGATATTTGAACAACATCCTGTCCTATTGTTATTTCACCTCCAGTACACACTAGGGATGTTAAAATAGTTTGGTTTTTTTTTTTTGTAAAAGTGTAACTGCTGAAGTCTTCAGCAACCTGGCTCTCCATGTGTGCTGGTTCCCGCCTCCTCCCACCGCTCCGCACTACTGCTTCTGTTTTAGATGCAGCGGTGCAGCAGGCGGCTCCCCAGGAGCTGGTGCTTCCAGGAAGCCTGCTTTAAAAGGTGGCTCCCCATGAGCACTAGCTCCCATCTGCTCTCCCCTCACCCTGTGTTGCTGCCTCTGATACAGAAGCAGCAGCAGGGGCTCACATGTAACTGTGAAGGTTAACTGATAAGCCCAGGCTCATCGGTTTACCGTTTAAACACGCTCACTGTCCCAGCCCTCGTACATACATTCACACATGCCCTGAATGTACCACAGCCTACTTCACTTTGCCGTCATCTACATTCCTGTGGCCCAAAGAGCCTTCATGAGAGAAAGATGCACAATCTTAAACATCTGCCTATAGGGAACGACAATGGTAGCAAAAGGCAGCATAATGAGAAGGCTGAAACAGATTTCAGTATTACAATGACATCAGTCAGTTCAACCTTTGCTACAGAGCTGTTTGCTTCCCAAACCAGTCTTTAAAACCCATAATTGCAGAAGAAATAAGACATTTCTCTTTCTCAAGATGGACAGGACTGAACAGTTTCTCAAAACAAGAGCTACAACCAGAGCCTCTCTTTACAGGAGCAGATTAAGCACATACAAGAGGCAAATTAAAGAGCAATTCTAAATAAAAATTTGATTAAAAAAACCCAACATTTTAAACCATTTATAAATACATGTTTTAAATCAAGCCCATCACATGCTCTTTCCCACCTCCAAAGGTCTGTTGTAAGATGTCTTCAGTCCAGAGCTATTCTGTTAGTTCTGCAAATCCATACCTACTTCAGAGTATTGATCACAGCACATTTTCTGATTATCTAAGCTACATGGCTCATGGGTTTAACACGTTGTATACAATCCAAAAATTTAAAAAAAAAACAAAAAAACAAAGAGAAGCAGAAAAATCAAGCATTAAAAACCTTCAAAAGAAAATAAAACGAACAGCCCCGATAAAATGCATTCTTTAACACTTGAGGTAACATTTACTGGGCTCTTTAGAAAATTTAACAAAAATATGAAGTTGGGTGCAGAGCTTTTCATTCTGCCATCTTTTTGCAATGTTTATTAGATTGTAACAGAATATTTCATTTGCTGGGTAACTAAAAATCAATGCCAATTTTGAAAGACACAGTAAAATTGCCTTTATAAGAAGTCAAAGCATTTGGGTCATAAGGGCTATCCCTTAATTGCAATGTTTAATAAGGTATGACCTGTAAAAATAGCATTTTTGACAGTAAACTACACTAATAGTTTTAGTGCATATCCACACAATCACAACCTCATTACCACCAACTGGAATGTAATCATTCAGAGGTCATATGCATGGGACCATGACCAATACTTTAATTTAATAGAAGCAAAGGGGCTTCTATAATTCAAGCAAAATAAGTAGTATCTCAGAATAAGGTATTTCTGAAATGGAATTTGAAAACTGGGTCAAGTAATTTAAATGGCTTAAGTTTATTGCAATTAGTAGCACTTCAGAGGAATCCACTAGTCTGAAAAGCTGGCTCAACATTCACTCTCCTTTTGCTTTCCTCATCAGGCCTGGTGAGGCAACGTCATTTCACTCACTGAAAAACTCAAAATCTAAGGAATCCAGGGATGTTTCTTCTCAGAATATACATTTTTCATTACACTTTGCAGATTTTTTTAAACAGAACAGTGATAAACATGTTTTCTTTTTCAGCATAAGTTGTTTCACTGCTAAGTCACAGTAACTTCCAAAATGGAATATTGTAATTAAGCAAACAAAACCAAGAAGTGAAAACAAAAATTACTTACGAGCATCACCACTAAATGCATTTGAAATATTTTCTGCGTACACATGGTTTTCAAAGGCCGGCAACTGCATTTCTTGTAGCCCAAATTAAGCCCTCTTAAATGCTGTGACAATTTAGATTAAACATATTTAACTAACACACACAGTGTTACTTTCCAACTCATGTAATCACTGTTACTGACTACATATGCAATTATATTCATTCTCTATTACAAAGTGAACTAGCTGCTTTCTGTCACACCAATGTTCACATTAGCCAAGCTGTTCAGAAGTACAGTGAGGAAACTTGCATTTTAATTTTTCTGTATTTGTACAATTGACTTTGCAAATGAAATTCTCAACAGAAAATGTATGCTGAACTTGTGATATGCATTTTCAAGTGTCCTATTTTAAAAATTGTTCCATCTGGTAAAAAGATTTAATAACCTAAGATTTTTAATTTCAGAAAACAAGGGATGAGTGCTATAAAAAAAAAATCAAAGCATTAGAAATGCCAGTTTCACATCACTAGTGCTTTGACTTGCTAGTGAGCCACTTAAAACTGTAGTGAAGACAAAGGAACTGTCTTCCCTTAGAAATTATACCTGCTTCATTTTCCAGACTAAACCCATGAGCCAACCAATATTACCTGAATCATGGTAGCACAAATATTTATCCCAGTCTCAAAGTCTGATGCCCAGAGTCCCGCTCATTCTGCAACTACCACTAATTTGGTCTTGACTTCTGTTATGCTCCTCATTCTTGAGCTATGCTTCTCAGTACATACTTGACTGTGTAGGCAAAGGCTGCAAAACCAACTATAACAAACAAGTTCGCCAAAGCTCCTCCTAAGAGTCCATGGTTACGATTGGCCTGTTGGAGACCTGGGTGATTGGCAGCTGCCAGTGGAACGTGCCCATTAAGAAGTGGTATCCCGTTTTGACCATGGTGTGCTTCCCCATCAGGAACAACATCTGGTAACGGGAGGGGTGGGGGTCTGCTATTGAGCTCTTCTTGTGCTTTCTGTTTTTGTTTGATCTCCTGGAGGGGAAAAAATGACAGGGATCATTGGAAGGGAAGAGGATTAAGTTTCCTGGCAAGTCATCTTATGTTTTTTCAAAAAGTCTATCCATGCAAAGCGAGTTTGATATTGAAGATATTCCTTTTCAATGTATATCCAGGTGCAGCTCCACAGAGAGAGCTTCTTGCTGTTTTTTATCCATAATAAAGTTAAAAGATGGAAGGTCATATTGTTGCATAAGTCCCATCTAGTCCTGGATTGTTGCATACACTATATTTTCTAATGCTCTGCATCACTCTAAACTATTCCACAGAGTAACAAGCTTCACTATTAACAACTTTTCCATAATATCTACCCTCAATGTTTTTCTCTTAATATAACCTCAGTATTTATTTGTATTCATTTAAACAGACCTAAAAAAAAAAACTTTACATTCTTTGGAGGTTTACACCTTCAAATATTAGCAGATAACTATCCCTAGAAGATGTCATAGTTGCTATTTAACCAAACAATATTGAGTTTTAAATGTTCACTTCTACATGCGGTTCAAAATTTTCAATTTCAATTTTTTCAGAAATTCTTTTAAAACTCTCTCTCCACATTTGCTACTATAAAGACCCTTGAATGGGAAAATGTAATTCAAGTACTTTCAAAGAGTGCCAAATAACTCCACAATTCTCAAAGAACTGAAATGGAAGAAAAAGGCATCCTCAAAGCATTGTCTCAAGGTTAGGAATCAAGTAAATCTTTTACAAGTTAAAATGTAGAGATATGAGGGTTCTGACAACAACATTATGGCAGTAGGGCATCAAACTGCACTCTGTAATCATTTTGGGCTTATCAGGAAGAGAGTTAAAGCGTGAGGAACAGTGGGCCTCATGTTCTCTGGTAACTCTGTTAGCTGATTTATAGGGAAAGCAGACTCTAAAGGAGAGGTGGGGAGCCTAAGGCCTGGGGGGTCACTTGACTGGATCCAGCACCCAAGGCTCTGGGCTTCCCTCCCGACCCTGCCCAGCGCTGGGGAGCCTGCACTGGTGCTCCAGCCTCCCTACCATCCCCCATGGGACTAGAGCACACAAAATCTAGTAGGCTGGGCTCCTCTAGGCTCTGGTGTGCGAGGGGAACTTGGAGAGTGTCTTTCTCCTTCTCAGTCGGAGTCAACATCTGAGAGGGTTTGGTTTTCTTTCTTTTTTTCCTTTTGCTTCTCACTTACGAGCGGCCCCCGTAGCCTATCAAGTTACTTGCCTATCGTGCTAATAATATGCTTGTGTAAATTTAGATTATTTAGGTAATAGTTAAGAGCTGTAATGTAAGAAATCTGCTAAAGGCTGGTCTGTAGCACAATGTGCCCTGCCTGCCCAGTTCCTCAGACGGGAGAGTGGGAGGCAGGCGTTGCAAAACAAAATAGTTTGTGTAACCTAATGTTAATTTGTGGCTATTATACTTCAAGGTTAAAAGTGAATCAGCAATATGAGATGGCACTTCCGCATTTAAAACCAAATTAGTTATAGTCAAGCATGAAGCACAAAACTGAGGTGGCTCTACCTTATGCACAGAAAAAGCAACAAATTTCTTTTGGCAGAAATTCACTGAACTGAAGTAGCTGCTTAACATTAATTCCTCTACTTCATAAAAGCTAGTGCTCCTGAACAGCATGTGTCAAAGAAACCACCTGAATGAAGACACGCACCTGTTTTTCCTAAATTGGTTCACTGAATAGATCTTTTCTTGCAAAGTCATCATTAAAAATAGCATGCCAGATGTTTTGCCATTATATTTAAGTGAGGATGTTGTCATCAGCAGCTGTTTCCTCAGTAGCAAAAAGAAAAAGAAAAAAAAAGCCATCTTTGCCTTAGTAAGTTTTCCTGTCCATCCAACATCTCCAGTTTTAAATTCTCCCAACATTCCCTTTCCCAAAAAAGTCCCATAGAAAAACATGCATTTTAAACATGAATAGTTCTGTTTTTATTATGAATGGATAACTTTACAATGCAGTCATTTCTACTCCTCAAAAACATGCTTAAAGTTTGCGGCCGAGGCATCAAGAAGAAGTGGTCGTGTAACTTCTGTGAAATGAAGAGTGGGGAAAAATTGAACTACACACAAGTCCAAAAACTGTAATTCTGAAAAATGTAAGACTACAATTGAGATGTCTCATGATCAAAGACAGGTGCAAATCTTTCCCCCAATTGTGCACTGCAACTGTACAGGACTCTAAGGAAATGAAGCACAGAAGTGAAGGGTCAAGACACCATTTGTTCCAGTATGATGCACAAAAGGACAACTTTCAGTTTTATTATGTCATTAAGATAACACACTGCCTCAGGGCATGAATTCAACATTTTTGCATGGCAAAGAATGATTAATTCCATCTACTGACTTTGGTAACAAAATCAAAGTTCGGATACTGCATACCATAGTAAATACTATTTAAGTTCACTAAAACCTACACAGGAAGGGATAAATATTCTGCTACCAACGACAAGGGTGTATACCAAGGGTGTGTTGGGAGGGTGCAGCAAGTCAGCTAGCTTTTCACAGATGGCCCCGAAAACCACTGCCAAATCTTTCCATCCTTCCTCAGCGTGTTGAAGAAAAAAAAAAAAATCACTGACAGAAGACAAGCTCCACTTTAAAAAAAAAAAATCAATCTTTCAAAAAGAATGCAGCATAGTCAGGGTTCTATAAATAGCATAAATTTTGTATTCCCAATTGAGGCACTTTTTTGAAAATGGACTCAACCTTCAGATGCCTAGGGCTAACTGCAAGGCCAACTTATTGCCATGAAATAAAAATGGTGGATATTTGAACAACATCCTGTCCTATTGTTATTTCACCTCCAGTACACACTAGGGATGTTAAAATAGTTTGGTTTTTTTTTTTTGTAAAAGTGTAACTGCTGAAGTCTTCAGCAACCTGGCTCTCCATGTGTGCTGGTTCCCGCCTCCTCCCACCGCTCCGCACTACTGCTTCTGTTTTAGATGCAGCGGTGCAGCAGGCGGCTCCCCAGGAGCTGGTGCTTCCAGGAAGCCTGCTTTAAAAGGTGGCTCCCCATGAGCACTAGCTCCCATCTGCTCTCCCCTCACCCTGTGTTGCTGCCTCTGATACAGAAGCAGCAGCAGGGGCTCACATGTAACTGTGAAGGTTAACTGATAAGCCCAGGCTCATCGGTTTACCGTTTAAACACGCTCACTGTCCCAGCCCTCGTACATACATTCACACATGCCCTGAATGTACCACAGCCTACTTCACTTTGCCGTCATCTACATTCCTGTGGCCCAAAGAGCCTTCATGAGAGAAAGATGCACAATCTTAAACATCTGCCTATAGGGAACGACAATGGTAGCAAAAGGCAGCATAATGAGAAGGCTGAAACAGATTTCAGTATTACAATGACATCAGTCAGTTCAACCTTTGCTACAGAGCTGTTTGCTTCCCAAACCAGTCTTTAAAACCCATAATTGCAGAAGAAATAAGACATTTCTCTTTCTCAAGATGGACAGGACTGAACAGTTTCTCAAAACAAGAGCTACAACCAGAGCCTCTCTTTACAGGAGCAGATTAAGCACATACAAGAGGCAAATTAAAGAGCAATTCTAAATAAAAATTTGATTAAAAAAACCCAACATTTTAAACCATTTATAAATACATGTTTTAAATCAAGCCCATCACATGCTCTTTCCCACCTCCAAAGGTCTGTTGTAAGATGTCTTCAGTCCAGAGCTATTCTGTTAGTTCTGCAAATCCATACCTACTTCAGAGTATTGATCACAGCACATTTTCTGATTATCTAAGCTACATGGCTCATGGGTTTAACACGTTGTATACAATCCAAAAATTTAAAAAAAAAACAAAAAAACAAAGAGAAGCAGAAAAATCAAGCATTAAAAACCTTCAAAAGAAAATAAAACGAACAGCCCCGATAAAATGCATTCTTTAACACTTGAGGTAACATTTACTGGGCTCTTTAGAAAATTTAACAAAAATATGAAGTTGGGTGCAGAGCTTTTCATTCTGCCATCTTTTTGCAATGTTTATTAGATTGTAACAGAATATTTCATTTGCTGGGTAACTAAAAATCAATGCCAATTTTGAAAGACACAGTAAAATTGCCTTTATAAGAAGTCAAAGCATTTGGGTCATAAGGGCTATCCCTTAATTGCAATGTTTAATAAGGTATGACCTGTAAAAATAGCATTTTTGACAGTAAACTACACTAATAGTTTTAGTGCATATCCACACAATCACAACCTCATTACCACCAACTGGAATGTAATCATTCAGAGGTCATATGCATGGGACCATGACCAATACTTTAATTTAATAGAAGCAAAGGGGCTTCTATAATTCAAGCAAAATAAGTAGTATCTCAGAATAAGGTATTTCTGAAATGGAATTTGAAAACTGGGTCAAGTAATTTAAATGGCTTAAGTTTATTGCAATTAGTAGCACTTCAGAGGAATCCACTAGTCTGAAAAGCTGGCTCAACATTCACTCTCCTTTTGCTTTCCTCATCAGGCCTGGTGAGGCAACGTCATTTCACTCACTGAAAAACTCAAAATCTAAGGAATCCAGGGATGTTTCTTCTCAGAATATACATTTTTCATTACACTTTGCAGATTTTTTTAAACAGAACAGTGATAAACATGTTTTCTTTTTCAGCATAAGTTGTTTCACTGCTAAGTCACAGTAACTTCCAAAATGGAATATTGTAATTAAGCAAACAAAACCAAGAAGTGAAAACAAAAATTACTTACGAGCATCACCACTAAATGCATTTGAAATATTTTCTGCGTACACATGGTTTTCAAAGGCCGGCAACTGCATTTCTTGTAGCCCAAATTAAGCCCTCTTAAATGCTGTGACAATTTAGATTAAACATATTTAACTAACACACACAGTGTTACTTTCCAACTCATGTAATCACTGTTACTGACTACATATGCAATTATATTCATTCTCTATTACAAAGTGAACTAGCTGCTTTCTGTCACACCAATGTTCACATTAGCCAAGCTGTTCAGAAGTACAGTGAGGAAACTTGCATTTTAATTTTTCTGTATTTGTACAATTGACTTTGCAAATGAAATTCTCAACAGAAAATGTATGCTGAACTTGTGATATGCATTTTCAAGTGTCCTATTTTAAAAATTGTTCCATCTGGTAAAAAGATTTAATAACCTAAGATTTTTAATTTCAGAAAACAAGGGATGAGTGCTATAAAAAAAAAATCAAAGCATTAGAAATGCCAGTTTCACATCACTAGTGCTTTGACTTGCTAGTGAGCCACTTAAAACTGTAGTGAAGACAAAGGAACTGTCTTCCCTTAGAAATTATACCTGCTTCATTTTCCAGACTAAACCCATGAGCCAACCAATATTACCTGAATCATGGTAGCACAAATATTTATCCCAGTCTCAAAGTCTGATGCCCAGAGTCCCGCTCATTCTGCAACTACCACTAATTTGGTCTTGACTTCTGTTATGCTCCTCATTCTTGAGCTATGCTTCTCAGTACATACTTGACTGTGTAGGCAAAGGCTGCAAAACCAACTATAACAAACAAGTTCGCCAAAGCTCCTCCTAAGAGTCCATGGTTACGATTGGCCTGTTGGAGACCTGGGTGATTGGCAGCTGCCAGTGGAACGTGCCCATTAAGAAGTGGTATCCCGTTTTGACCATGGTGTGCTTCCCCATCAGGAACAACATCTGGTAACGGGAGGGGTGGGGGTCTGCTATTGAGCTCTTCTTGTGCTTTCTGTTTTTGTTTGATCTCCTGGAGGGGAAAAAATGACAGGGATCATTGGAAGGGAAGAGGATTAAGTTTCCTGGCAAGTCATCTTATGTTTTTTCAAAAAGTCTATCCATGCAAAGCGAGTTTGATATTGAAGATATTCCTTTTCAATGTATATCCAGGTGCAGCTCCACAGAGAGAGCTTCTTGCTGTTTTTTATCCATAATAAAGTTAAAAGATGGAAGGTCATATTGTTGCATAAGTCCCATCTAGTCCTGGATTGTTGCATACACTATATTTTCTAATGCTCTGCATCACTCTAAACTATTCCACAGAGTAACAAGCTTCACTATTAACAACTTTTCCATAATATCTACCCTCAATGTTTTTCTCTTAATATAACCTCAGTATTTATTTGTATTCATTTAAACAGACCTAAAAAAAAAAACTTTACATTCTTTGGAGGTTTACACCTTCAAATATTAGCAGATAACTATCCCTAGAAGATGTCATAGTTGCTATTTAACCAAACAATATTGAGTTTTAAATGTTCACTTCTACATGCGGTTCAAAATTTTCAATTTCAATTTTTTCAGAAATTCTTTTAAAACTCTCTCTCCACATTTGCTACTATAAAGACCCTTGAATGGGAAAATGTAATTCAAGTACTTTCAAAGAGTGCCAAATAACTCCACAATTCTCAAAGAACTGAAATGGAAGAAAAAGGCATCCTCAAAGCATTGTCTCAAGGTTAGGAATCAAGTAAATCTTTTACAAGTTAAAATGTAGAGATATGAGGGTTCTGACAACAACATTATGGCAGTAGGGCATCAAACTGCACTCTGTAATCATTTTGGGCTTATCAGGAAGAGAGTTAAAGCGTGAGGAACAGTGGGCCTCATGTTCTCTGGTAACTCTGTTAGCTGATTTATAGGGAAAGCAGACTCTAAAGGAGAGGTGGGGAGCCTAAGGCCTGGGGGGTCACTTGACTGGATCCAGCACCCAAGGCTCTGGGCTTCCCTCCCGACCCTGCCCAGCGCTGGGGAGCCTGCACTGGTGCTCCAGCCTCCCTACCATCCCCCATGGGACTAGAGCACACAAAATCTAGTAGGCTGGGCTCCTCTAGGCTCTGGTGTGCGAGGGGAACTTGGAGAGTGTCTTTCTCCTTCTCAGTCGGAGTCAACATCTGAGAGGGTTTGGTTTTCTTTCTTTTTTTCCTTTTGCTTCTCACTTACGAGCGGCCCCCGTAGCCTATCAAGTTACTTGCCTATCGTGCTAATAATATGCTTGTGTAAATTTAGATTATTTAGGTAATAGTTAAGAGCTGTAATGTAAGAAATCTGCTAAAGGCTGGTCTGTAGCACAATGTGCCCTGCCTGCCCAGTTCCTCAGACGGGAGAGTGGGAGGCAGGCGTTGTAATGCAAAGCTGCTCTCAGCATTCCCACAGGCCCTTTGTGTTTGCTTGACTGATGTCTGGGTTCAGTTGTAATACACTAGGCCTTATATCTGCCCATTGCAGTTTGTGAAGGCCCACTGAATACTAGCACTCAGCTCCTTGGGGGGGGGGCTTTGCTATTGACCCGCCTGGGTACAGGTCCGTGCCCTTTCTTAGCAGGGGCCAGGACACGATTGTAAATAAGAGTCTAGCAAGAGCCCCAAATTAGTGGTCCTGCTACTTGTACCTGTCTGTTTTCGTATGCTGCTTGCCACCCCCCATACAGCCAGCCACAAGCCTGTTGGTGCCATGCACTCACTGGGCTGTGTGGCAATCCAGATGCCATTAGGCACAGGAGCAGCATGGGTGCAGTACTGCCCAGCCCAAGGGCTGTCTGGTGAATTGGGTTCCCCTGCAATGCAATGGCTCCTGCTCTAGGGTGTAATAAAACAGTTCAGCCTCTGAATGCACTTTCCAATGAGTACCATGTCTGCATTACAGCCAATTAGAGAGCAGGGTTGCACTCGAATGAATAAAACACACACAAGCTCACAGTCCAGGTCAAGTAATAAGGTGCTATATTCTATCCGTTCTGTAACAGGCTGTTCACAAGATCAGCAGAAGCTGATGTTAGCAGATTTCCGTGGTTGAGACATGGTCTCACCCAGATACCGGTGATAATTTATGTATGGTTTCCTAGGACTGAAAAGGGGAACGTATGTTTGAGACCTTTTACCCACATACTATGGTAGGAAAAATACCCTCAGACTCAGCAGATGCATCATTACATAAAAGTCTCAAAATAACTGGTTCAGGCTGAGTTAAGTAATCAGGACACAGAATACGACAGATAGCCACAAAGGCTCAACGCAACAATCTGACATATATGATAAGTTGAGAGCAATGATACACTAACCAACAGGAAAAGAACACTTCAGCATTAGAAACATCCCCTACTGAATATGCATCAAACATGTTACTGTCAGCGTCACTTAGTATAAAAGTGGAACCCCAGCCTAGGAGCGAGAGGGAGGAGAAGATGTCCTTGGAAGGATCATAATGATGGACCCTGAGATGGGGAAGGTGAAGATAATGGAAAAAATGATGGGCTAACACTTAAGATTGTTCTAGAAGGAATGATGTAAGTCTATGGTATGGAAATATGGATGTACATTCCCTATCTTATGAAACTGGGGTGTTTGACAACTGTGCTAACCATATTAATAAACTATATTTTTAAATATACAAAAGTTTCTACACTGAGTGTTGCAGCTGTGCACATCAGGGTTTCCAATCATAGACTAATTGTATACTGGGCCTGGTCCTGGGACAAAGAACCTATCAACCCTAAAGGTGGGAAATTAGAAATTTAAACGTAATCTTAGATCAAGCAACACCCGGGACCCAAAAAAACATTCCCCACCCCGCTCTAAAGCTTCAGTCAGACTAATTCTGAGGGGTGGAGGAAGCAGTATGGAACCTATACAGATGTGTAATGGAGAACTAGCTAATCAAGCTCTGAAGTCTTGACTGATTTTATGCACTGTTTCAAAAGCCCTAATTGAACATCTGGAGCAACTGACTGATTATTCTATCCAGAAGTTCCCTTTGTGCCTGTGAATAATGCTAACAGCATTAACCAGCCTCACTTTATGCTCCACCATGTTTGCATACAAATTACAACTGCCTTTCCTGTATAAGTACAGTGGGAGAAAATACTTTGTTCATTTTCTCCCTTTTCTAGCACATCTACAGTGGGCATCTGGAATTTGTCCTTACCTAAATATTCAACTTTTGATTCTCCAAATGAGAGGCCTTCACATTTAAATACAGAATGTTTTACACAGAGAACCATGTTTTCCATTTTTGTACATTGAAAAATCCAGTTCTTTTAGAGGGGTCTCAAGTTAGATACCCAAAATTGAGGAAGAGTGACCAGTATCTTGAAAATCTTGGCCAATTAATTTGTATAATTTGCATATTTATACAGAGATAAAATGTGAAAGCCAGAAAAAAAAAAAATCAAATGAACTTTCTTACCTCCACCACTTCAGGGAAGAGCTCACAAAAGACTTTATCTTTTAAATTAAATGCTAAACTTTGTACAGCAAGCTGTCTTTTCTATCGAGGAAACAAAAAAGGATCATTAGCTTGAAAATTATAATTTAAAATACACATTAACCATAAAGCATATGGAGGATATTTCACAAGAGAATGCTAAAAAGGTACTAATCTACCACTTCCTAATATCTGTAGCTATTTCATCATTAGGAATATAGGCTCAACAGTAATGACTTTCTATAAACCCTGCTCTTCAGAAGCTTATAACTTCATTTCATCTGAATGCTTTTTCATTCTGTGTCTGCCCAATGGTGATTTTTTTTAGGAGTTTGGGGGAAACAGGAAGAGGAGGAGGGGAGAAACAGTCCAACAAACATAGCAGCTACATTTTACAGAGAATCCTCACTACAAAACCGTAAGAAGGTATGGTCTAGAAATGTGCATAGAAGAAAAGGTTGCCTGGGATGTGAGGGCTGACCTATTCAACAGAATACTGAGTTCCAACTAACCTATTAATAAAACAAATAGGTTAATGTAAAAAGTTAGCTTTATAATCAGAAGCGGTGGCACTTAAGTTATATTTCCCACCTGTGATCCAAACCCTTGACTCTATGTTCTTTTAAACACCCTCATCTTTTCATCATCCCTATGACCAAACTCAAAGGCAGAGCCAGGTTTAGAACCCAGAAATGCTGGATTCCAGTCTCGTGCATAATCACTGTGGGGTGCGCAACATATCCTGACCTGAACAAAAAAAAAAAAAAAAAAAAAATTAAAAATGTAATATTAGTTGCTTACTGTAAATTCTGAGGTTTCTATGCTGCCCAATGTGGGGCCTTTTTCCACCATAAAACTAAGAAGGCCTGTTAAGATTGTTGAGACTGACCACGCTGGATTCCATGTATCAGGATGGAAATCAGTGATTGAAAGACACAACCTTAAAAAAAAAAAAAAAAAAAAAAAACAAGCAGTGCACTTTATTCCTTGCCATTAATTAAAGGGGGAAATTATGCATACATGATACTTTAACTCTTGTTTCGAAATTTGTATTAGAAGAAAATCCTTACCTTGTATTACATTTAAATCTTCCATTAGGAGTTATCATATAAATACTAGGAGGTTTAAAAGGAAATTCTCTGGGGAAAATTAGTTTTCCATGATAATAGCCACCTGTATTGTACAAAAAAAAAATTGTTTTGCACTAAGGAAACACTTTCCTCAAATACTTGTAATGTTATGGCATATAAGATTTAAAAGAACTTTTACTATATACATATGCCAAACAATTTAAAACTGATCTGGCACTAAGTACCTTTGGGAAAGACATATTTTTGGAAGTACTATTATTCTGTCAGTGCATATAGCAAGCAACGCTTTCTAGTGAACAAGTTCTTATTTGATCTACACGGGTTTGTCCCTAAATGTATTTAAACATCATGTCTGCACAAATGGCATGGTTTTGCCTACTAACATCATACTGATCATTCTAAATTGGAAAAATCAAATTTCAGAAGCCGATCTTTTTCGGGGGAGGTTTGAGTATACAGTGAAATACAGTAAAAGCTTTGTTATCTGGCATTTTGTTAGCCAAAAAACCAGAACTGACCCCAGAGAGTTAAAGTTTGAATTTAACAGCGTACTGGATGGGTTGGATGGGTTGCAGCCGTTCCTTGTATGGAGATTTCCTCCTCCATTGGGGCATAGCCAGCGAGGGCTGCTTTGTTATCTGGCACAATCAGTTAATTGGCAACCAGCTTTACCCTGGGTGCTGGATAACAAAGCTTTCACTGTATTATAATTAAAATTAAGTAGAGCTGATACTCATCCTCTCCAGGGTTGATAATTGGGGAAAAAAAGGCGTATACCTCAACTCTAGGAAGAACAAAGTACAGGCAGTCCCCGGGTTACGAACAAGATAGGGACTATAGGTTTGTTCTTAAGTTGAATTTGTATGTAAGTCGGAACTGGCTCCAGATTCAGCCACTGCTGAAACTGATCAGCTGCTGATTACAGGAAGCCCTAGGCAGAGTTGCTCTGCCCCTGGCTTCCTGGAATCAGCCGCTGATCAGTTTCCACAGCGGCTGAACTCGGCCTCCTGGGACAGAACAACAGGGCCG